AGAGAGAGAGAGAGCACGAGAGAGAGAGAGAGCACGAGAGAGAGAGAGAGCACGAGAGAGAGAGAGCACGAGAGAGAGAGAGAGCACGAGAGAGAGCACGAGAGAGAGAGAGAGACAGAGAGAGAGAGAGAGAGAGAGAGAGAGAGAGAGAGAGAGAGAGAGAGAGAGAGAGAGAGAGAGAGAGAGAGAGAGAGCGAGAGGGAGCATGTTTATGTTGTACTAAGTGTATTTAGACAGTGGATATTACCGCATCAATATATACACCAAAAGGACTCCGAACTTATATTTAAAATGGCTGAGACTCATTAGCCGACAAATCATCAGTGCCACAGGCAGCGTGTAATGAATGACGGCTATAGGGCGCTGTCCTCTGCTCACGCCAGTTGGCATGGCCAGGGGCTACATGAGGCCGCTGCTTAGGGACTACAGGGGCTACATATATGTATATGTGTATGTATGATGTGTGTGTGTATTTGTGTTTGTGTGTGTATAGTATATATACAGAAATATGTGTATATATATATATATATATATATATATATATATATATATATATATATATATATATATATATATATATATATATATATATATATATATATATATGTATGTATGTATGTATATGTATATATAGATATAGATACATGTATGTATATATATGTATGTATATGTATATATAGATATAGATATAGATACATGTATGTATATATATGTATGTATGTATGTGTATATGTGTATGTATATATATATATATATATATATATATATATATATATATATATATATATATATATATGTATGTATGTATGTATATGTATATATAGATATAGATACATGTATGTATATATATGTATGTATATGTATATATAGATATAGATATAGATACATGTATGTATATATATGTATGTATGTATGTGTATATGTGTATGTATATATATATATATATATATATATATATATATATATATATATATATATATATATATATATATATATATGTATGTATACTGAAAAATTAACTGACAGTTGCAGTGCGTCAGAGTAATAGTTGTGTTTCTGCGGATCCTGGTGCGCCTCTAGTGTTCACTCGCCTTGCAATTAACTCTGCACAAATAACAAAGAGTAATTTGTGTTGTGGAGGAGAGTCCGTGATTATCCATGGCGGTGATTGCAAAATGACTCCATTGTCGACGAACACAGCTACACCTTGAGAATATTGCCATGGACCAAATTAAATTTAGGAATCACCTTTTGGGGTCTCAGAATTACCCCAAAGAAAATAGTTTGGGAGAAAGCTGAATGCGAGACCAGCTGCGAGAGAGCACCCCGGGGAGAAAACCTCAAAAGGGAAGTCACAGCAGAGAATTATTGTCGGAATTCAACTGAGAGAGAGAGAGAGAGAGAGAGAGAGAGAGAGAGAGAGAGAGAGAGAGAGAGAGAGAGAGAGAGAGAGAGAGAGAATCGCCGCCTCGCCGGGCTTTGCATCGTCTCACACACCGTCTTGATCCATTCTCAATACCCATCAAGCGTCCTCCGAACACCTTTCAGCAATGACTCTCGCCGCCTCATGTACCCAGGAACATTAGTTGTGAGTCACGTTGAGTCCCCGCCCCCTGCCCCTTATACGGCTCCCCTTCACCATGCCAGTACCCTGCCGGTCTCGCCGTGGCTCTCCCGGTGCTGACCCGCGCGGTGGCTTCACGGACACACAATGATATGGATCATAAATCGGCTGCGGCATAGACGGCCATCAGCCACTGCTCTGCAAACCGGAAATAACGACGGAGAACGCACCTCTTAAACGGCAAAAACTTCAAGTTAGGCCCATTTCGACCTGCAAGAACGCTTCCCTGGAGTCCACATGCGCACCATAGCCCGAGAGGGACGTCGAGGCTGAGCTCAGAGAAGGGTGTCCGGCTCCGCCTCAGCAGCCGCGCTTGGCACAAGTCGGGAATGTGTAACGACCGCAGGAATGAACAGAGGAGAGAAAGTCGGGGAAACAGCTCTTGATGACCGAGACTGCTTATTTCTCCATCATAACTACCAAATTTGGGGCAGCGGGCCTCCGGACGAACGGGGTGGAGGAGGGCCGCCCGAGTCGTTTCGCGTTGACGTTGGTCTCGGCTTGTGTGTGGGTGACCTCGGGGGCAGAACGGTGACTACTAACGGTAACCCTGTTTATGTTTGATTATCTGGCGTATATGGAAGAATTATAAGGCGCCGGGAACACCTCCTTGCATGTTTATTAGGCTTTGTGGCAAATTGTAAATGTTGATTAGCACGGTTTAACATTTACAACTCAGCTTATTTTCGTCTGATGAGAGCAAGACCAAGGAGAGTTGGAAGCAAGATTTGTTCGTGGAAATTAGATGTTTCCTATTAAACTCAACAAAGAAAATAAGAACCAGTCTTTTCGGTGATGGAATTAAAATGAGTGGTGGAATCTCTCTGCTAGAGACCCACACACATTCTATTAAGAAGTTTCGACCGGGAAATTTCTGCTTTTTAAGATGTAACGGCGAAATATTTTTTCCCCTAGATGAGTATATATATTATTAGAATACAGCTCGTATGATTCAACATGATCATTGTCTTTTTACGAATGATATTTAAAATCCACATTGCCCGTCGTGGAAGCATTAGCCATTCATACTTGTGGTTGATTTTGAGGTGTCACTGTATATTTTCGTCAGCGCTATCTGCTGTGATTTGTTTATCAGGGAAAGGTACCAGGACGCCCTGCCTTCACGCGTCTCTTGGAAGCGCTGTCTTAATTAACCCCCTGGGATTTCGCAGCCTCGTGACCTGACCTCACTATGACCCGCGGCTCTGACCTGACCGCCCACGAAGTGTGTCTCGAGAGGATTAATTGCTTAGGGAGCCGAAAGCCGATTTTTTTTTGTTTGTCTTATAAGGTCGTGATGGAGCCGTAATGAAGATGTTTTTTTAATATTGACGTTCTTCCAGTCGTTCCCAGTACGAAGAAAACGGAGTAGGCCTATATATGAATCATTTAAGTATTTCAAAATTAGGAACCAAAGTTTTATTTTGCTTTTGAATCGGAATGTGTTGATGGACCGATTTTTTTTTAGAAACGTAACATGTTTCTTTTGTTTTGCATTTATCTATTGGTGCATATGTCATACCCCCTCTCCCTCCCGGCATCCAGCATCCTCTCCCTCTCTCTCTTTCTCTCTCTCTTTCTCTCTCTCTCTTTCTCTCTCTCTTTCTCTCTCTCTTTCTCTCTCTCTTTCTCTCTCTCTTTCTCTCTCTCTCTTTCTCTCTCTCTCTTTCTCTCTCTCTCTTCTCTCTCTCTCTCTCTCTCTCTCTCTCTCTCTCTCTCTCTCTCTCTCTCTCTCTCTCTCTCTCTCTCTCTCTCTCTCTCTCTCTCTCTTCCTCTCTTCCTCTCTTCCTCTCTTCCTCCCTCCCTCCCTCCCTCCCTCCCTCGCTCCCTCCCTCTCCCTCTCGCTATTTATTTATTTCTCTTCATACTCCTTCTCATATCTTTATTCTCTCTTTCTCTTCTGCGGATGTACTTGGGCTACATGCGTGTGTTCTTATTTAATGCAAGAATTTATATACTGCATATTAATGTATGTAAACAATCCCGGACGTGTTTTCGATCTTATCAGCCCGTCCGTCACTAGCATCGATTGATATTCGAGGCCGCCTAGCCACACACACACACACACACACACACACACACACACACACACACACACACACACACACACACACACACACACACACACACACACACACACACACACTTCTTCAAGCAACAGCTGGAGCTCGAGAGACTTTGCCCCGTACTTTATGACCCATGACCGGCATCCAGCATCCTCCCCCCCCCTCCTCCATGCCATCCGCGTCTGTCCCATGATTCTTCTCCCTGGCACGCCCAAAAAAAGAGAAAAAAATGTCACCTGAGCGAGAGTTATGCCAATTTATGGACGATTGACGTAGCTGGCGAGTTTGCGATGTTCGAAAGAGTGACAGCGAGTCGAGTCTCTGGTTGGAGGGATTGTCGGCAGGGTGTCACTGTACTGTCAAGGAGGAGGGGGTTGGTGGTGATTAGGAGAGTTTATATCCGGTTTATATCCGGCAATTGTTATTGGAATATAATAATATTTAGGGTGAGAGAGAGAGAGAGAGAGAGAGAGAGAGAGAGAGAGAGAGAGAGAGAGAGAGAGAGAGAGAGAGAGAGAGAGAGAGAGAGAGAGAGAGAGAGAGAGAGAGAGAGAGAGAGAGAGAGAAAAGAAAGAGAAAAAGAAGAAAGTCAGGAAGGATGGAAGGAGGGAAAAACGAAAAAAAAAACAAGCTGTCACTGAACGCCCACCTTATGTCGCAGCCGGAGTAAACAAGTAAACAATGCCGAGGTGCGGGCGGGCGAGGACCACCTGTCGGGCGGCGCGGGCGGCGGGGGAGCGAGGTAGCGTCCCCAATGCATAATGTCTGAGTGATGGCTTTATGGGCGGGATGCGGCACATATCCGGGATACCAAGTCGCCCACAGCGCGCGCACATACGTGTCTTCATGTGCGCGTGTAAGTGTGCGTATGTGTGTGTGGGGGGGTGGGGGTAAACATAAGAAGCACTTGCAATTGCTGTCGTGGGATCTCTTCAGAGGAGGAAATATTAATCATGCGAAAACTGCAGCTATTTTTTTCTCACCCTGTGGTTATGATGAGTGAGCTTTGTATGTAAACTATGTATATTCACATATGGCCCACAAATCTATCAAAATATCAGTACGTCTATATAGATTTGTCTATCAATCTATATATCTATTTATCTGTCTGTGTATCTATTGATCTGTCTCTCTATGTATCTATCTATCTGTCTATCTATGTATGTATCTATCAGTCTATCTATATATCTATTTATCTTACATTATACATATATATTCTATGCACGTATTTGTATATTATTTTAGGGCCGATCCACCGCAAGAGCTAATTTCATTTCCTCTTCTCACGCATTATCTCTCCTTATCTGCAGAGGGAGGCCGTTTGGAGAAGGAGCTGGAGTACGTGGAGAAGAGCCTGGGCGAGGGCGCAGGCACTACCAAGCAGATCCTTATCCTCACGCCCAAGGACCAGGGTGCCAACATCCTGCATCCCCGGGCACTCCTCGCCCACGCGGCCGTGCTCCGTGCGGCGACCTCCGTCAAGATAGAAATGTT